AATACCTTCCAATATCATTCTTTCCTCTCCATGGCGTTTCCTAGTTAAGTTGACCTAGGCTGTTACAAGACCATCAAATGAAAGCTGGGTTTTTTGAACCACCAAAAATACGGGCTATTTTGAATGTTGGATTTTAGGCAGTAACAAAACACAAGATATTCTAAAATTTCCGGTTCTGCAAAAAGAAAATCTCGATATTTCTGTTTATCTGTGTTATAACCAGGCTTTTACAGAAACTACACACCAGGCTGGAGCTTCTAGAAGTAAATCTGCTAAGAAAGGGATACAGAGGGACAAGCTCATTACCTGCCTGATGATCTTTCTGAGCCCACAACCACATATGTTTACAATGCAGCCCAAACTTCCACAGTGAACAAGCTCTGCATCTTTGTGCCCTTTTTTTTTGTGTACTATGTGGATAGTGATATGGGCAGTGGGCAAGCTGCCACCATAAGCCAGCACCCATTCCTTAGAATCATTCTCCTAAGGATTGCCTCACTGTTGGCAAGAAGTGGAACTGAGAAGGGGCACACAGAGGCTCTACACTTTTGCATGGCAGCAGTAATCATGTTTTCAACTGCCTGAGCTCAGAAGCACGAGTTGTCGCTACTTCTAGAAAGAAACTAGAAGTCACACTAGAAGCAATGAAAAGCGCTCCAAGTACTATTAGGATGAACACGAATATACTGACAAAGACACGTTTTCTTCAATGCATTTTCCTAATTCACATTCTGACTGCAAGAGACACAGTCAGCGCGGTGTGTTGTGCTCCCCTGCTAAGTCCTGCCAGAGCCATTCCGAGCAGCACAGGTCTGACACTGCTAACCATACCTGTAAGCTATTCATCCAACCTCCTGCTTCTGACAAGTGTTTTTAAAAACAGTTTGTGTACACTGTGATGAGCAGGTCCTATCATGAGGCAAGGTTCACCTACATGGAAGTAAATACTGAGGGCATGGACGGTGGTTGCGTTTGTCATTTAAGGCCATAACCAAGGGACAAAATATTCACATAAGAATGTAAAAGAATCCCCACCCCCTTTCCTCATCCCCAGCCTCTCCCTGGTTTCGCACAACTGGGAGCATTGCAGCTTCATATTTAAAAGATAATGTGCTGAAGATGTTAGAGTATGTGAGCAGACAGGCCTAAAAATTAAAAAGCTTATTCTGGGCAAGGTGCCACAGGACTCTACCCATTACACTAGTGTCCATTTAAACACTGACATGTTGAATCCTCCAAATTAAAAGGGAGCTTCCAACCCACATCTTGGGCAGACTGCGTATTTTGCTTTAGTTCTAATACTTGCCTTTTTAAAAGGAGGCACAAGCATTTGAAGAGATCCAAACAACTTCCTGAATGCTCAGAATTAGTGTCCAGATAAATACTTCTTTCAGGCATAGCTTTAAACATAACACCATCCAGAGGGAAAAGGACAATTGAGACAGAGGGAGGAAACGTAACTTGAGTTTTTCAATGTTAACACCTTTCTATATCAGCCTCTTGCAAGTCTCCCATTTCAAACTCAGTCAGATTTACTGTTGGGGAGTTGATGGAAAGCTGTGATCCATAAACAGGAGATCAATCATTTTGTAATGTGTACATGTCCACGAGGCTCTTCTAGTGAGAAAAGCATGCCTGACCGACCATCTTCCTGTGTCTGTGGAGTTTTGTTGGTTTTCATTAACAGCATCACAAAAAGAAGCTCCTCTCCCCTAACGCCCAGGTTGTTAATCCGGAGGAACACTGTGTGCTAGTATCCTTTAGACCACTGGGAGGATCTTCTTCTGTTAGAGAGATTTATAAGCCATCACCCTTTGCCAAAGCCAAACTGCTTATTATTTCTCAGGGCTGTACTTACCCACCAAGGCCAAGCACTGGGGTGGGGGAAGAGAGGAAGAGGAGGCCTTTCTCAATTATTCCAATAGTTTCACAAGACTGACAGAGTAAGATCCACCTATACCAGTTATTCCACTTTATGTTCTCAACAGGTCTAAGTAAGTTGCTAATTCTTCACTAAAATAACTCTGAAAACATGTTTGTAAGCATTGAAAAGCAAGTCACAGGCAGCTACATTTCAATTCTCCACAGAAATCATATCCTTGCCATTTACCCTAGTAACCAAGAAGGTCAATGAACACCATGGTCCTTAACTGGCTTTTACTCTTTTAGTGGCATGGAAGTGAGCATTAAGATGGGAAGCTATGTGTATCCATGTGGTTTTGCAGTAGCATTTTAATGATTTTTGTGTTTGGGTTGTTTTGGGTTTTTTTAATGAGTAACAAAAGTTACCCACCAGCTTTCATGCACTAAAAGAAATGGGGAGAGGACTAGTTCCAGTATAATCTGGCTACACAGAAGATTCAGAGAACTAGAGAAGAATCTCAGGTTTAAGCATAAGGCTACCTAGTTTGCTAGAAAAACAGGACTCTGCAGTTGTAAAATCCTTGGTTTTCTCCACGTTAAATACCACCATAAGCCCTTTATCTATGCTGCACAGAAAAACAGACAGCTCTAAACACACCCTAAATAATAAGGCTCATTTTGCATCTAGAATATCTGCAGCTTTCTCCTCTCCAAAGACTACTTTCTTTTGCCATGAAACACTATTAGTTGTTCACATGCAGTATTCAGGAATCCATCATATATATATACACTTACAGGTGCCTTCTTGTCAATAGGTTTTATAACAAACTTCTTGTCATTGAAAGAGATATTTCTGATTTCGCTCCAGGGGAACCCAATCTTTGGAGTCAGCCTGGAAAGAAGAGAAACATTTTTAAGAAGTGCTGCAATGAACTTTTTTCCCCCACGTTGCTTCTAACACACAGACTTAGTGGGATGCAACACTTCATACAGCTCTCCCAATGGACAGAAGACAGTAGTTGAACCAAAAACCCACAGGGAGGAGGGAAAGATGGCTAGTCACCTCCTGTACTATCTCTTCTCATTGCGATCAGCCACCCTACTGACCTTTGGCTGTGCAATAGGGATGGTCTCTACTGAAGACACACATTCAGCTTTACCAAACACCTACACTTTAAGTTCATTTCTTTGAAATCAGGGCCTAAAACCTGCAGCGTCCAGACTTTAGGTGTACGTGTTGCGCTTCCAGGAGGCTTCTCGCAGATAATGGGCGGCATAAGCCAAAGTAACGTGGCCACTCCCCAACACCTTCTAGCACCCGCAGAGAAGTCTACACTGCTGTCTTACAGCTAGCCCAGTTACCTCCATGCTGCCTTCACTACTGAAGTGCTAGGCAGGCACACACACAGTTGTTAGAAACAGATTTCTTGTCCTTTGTTTCCTCCCCTAGATTACAGGCAAGACTAGTAACAAAGAGCCCTCTTCCCTCCTTCCATGCAAACTGCTCTTTCAAGCCCATCCCACTACTCATGAAGCAGAACTTCACACCTTGGTCATGCAAGAGGCTGCGCCACGTGGCTCTCTCCCATTGGAAAGCAAGCACCCCTACGAAGCAAAGGGCAAGACTCGGACTCCCAGCTCTTCCTTGCTGCCTAGGAGTTCAGGTCTGTTGGTCTGTTTAAAATTACTTATTTGAGCTTCGTTAATCATTTAAGATTTTCCTCTGCTTTAATTTCTCCAGACTCTTTTTTAATAAAAAGCATTAAGTTATTCAGGAGATCAAATGTTTCTGAGCCATTCCAGTACTTCATCCTTACATACCTGCCCAGTTCTGCAGCAAGTTCCAGTATTACAAGGACTGGTGTATTTGACTGTAACCAATTCCTTTTATTCCCCCCCACCAATATTTCAATTTTTATGTTTAATATCGCATTATTATTCTTTTATTCTTCTCTTATCAAGGGAAGGTGTATTCCTGGCAGTTAACAATTAAGAATTGTGTCTTACATAAATAATAATACCAACAAGCAATCTTCTTATTATCTGACTCCTCCAATACATGTGTGTCTGGCACACACTGAAGTGCTGACAACTATTTCTAGCAAATGGTTTGAAGACATAAGTAATGGTTAGCACTTAGAGAAATGTGTATCCTCACGGTGAACCGTTTGAGCTCTGTAAGAATCCTTACTACGAAGCTCACTGGTTAAGGAAAAAACTGGCAATTTTGGAGGAATTTGCCTCAACATCACAAAGATGGAAAGCTACCACATAGCTCAATTTCACTGGGCCCAAGCATAAGAGAAAAAGCTTGCTCACTTTTAAATCAAACATCAAGAATAAAATACATCCTCTTTGGAACTTACCATTCCTTAACCTTTCACTCAACTGCAAGATTATGCAACAGTATATGTGTGTGTAACATTAAGTGAGAACTGCAAAGAAAATTATTTTACTAGACTAAGATTAAGTAATTACTCTAGCCTCCATCATATTAACTTAAGAGTTTCAACCCTAGATAATACAGTATGACAGACAACTAAAATAATTCATGTATTAATAAGTTCTATTGCAGATTCTCCTCTTTACTGCAGAGAAAAAAAACAAAACTTGAAAATACCTAGAAGTAGGACACCGATATACATTGCAGTACGGAGGCTTACACACCTACAGCAGTCTCATTTTCCCCAGCTTGAACTTCAACAATGAAATCTTTGCATTTTCACCTTTGCCCCAGTCCCCAAGTTTTGCACGTACAAACTAAAGTCGAGGTACACATTACCATTTTTCTAGTCCCCATATCTGGTCAAAAGACTTAATTACATAGTAGCAAGAGTTACAGCAGAAACAAAGAGTTTATTCCAGCAGTGTATTTGTTTTGCAAACGCTCTTGATAGCTCTTTACAGTCAGCGGCCATACTCTCTCTGCTTCTGCAGCTTGAAAAACCTGTTTGTGTGACCATGGTTACATAGCAAGACTAGTCATTCAAGACTGAAGTATTACATGAGCGAAACTACTTTTTCTTTCAAGTGACACTCCTTGTTTTCTGAGTGACAGCACGTTAGCATTGCAGAAAAGACTGCATTTCTCTTTGCCGTCTTAACAGAAGCTCCAGAGAGTTCCAATTAATATTTGGGTTGCATTCAAAGCTTTTTGGAGGCAAAGACATGGAACAGGTGAAATCCCCTCTGTATGACAATGACAGTCAGTTACAGATTAGTGACATGAAACCAAGACTTAGGACGTGGCGGGGGGGAAAGCAGCAGTCTAGACAACAATGCTTCATCTAAAAATGTCTATTCTAACTCCTCTTCAGTCCTTCAGTTGTGCGGTATTAGAAGAGACTAGCAGGCTTAGACACAGCTGTTCTCATCTTCATTTTATGTTTATTTATAGATGTAGTCTATCATTTCCCACCTACTATCCAATTAATAATGGCTTTGTCTTTACCAGAAGGGCTGATTAAAACTATGCGTACCTCAGCAAGACCTCATTTCATTCCTCGTTCATGGTAACTATATAGGTTAAACTCCTCCCTGGGTTCTGGGTGTTATCCAGCTTTGGTTTCATGTCCACCCCATAATCTGTCTTTTCCAAAACCAGGCAGTTGTACACACATCTATCATTAACTTTATTGTAGGAATGGCCTTAGATGTCCAAAACACCCTGCAGATATCTTAGCCTATCTAGATTTTTGTATTGTATCCACTGCTGGCATACCTGGCAACCTGACTCAAGGAAAAGCTTGGTAAACTCTTTAGTTCAGAGTTCAGCTCTACAACTGTGTACGATTTACCAGATGGCATTGTACAACTGACATCTTTCTTTATATGGTAGGTAGCATTAACAAGTCAGGCTACAAGGGTCAGGAAAGTCATGAAAGCATAAATGATGAAAGCTCATTTCCTAGCACAGCTTCACCTACTGATCCAAAATTCGAACATGAGCAAGTTCTAAACTTTTCCCTGATCCTGTAAATGATAAATGTTCCTTGGCTCCCACAGGAGCCCTCACTCTGGAACATCAGAGGTGGGGAAAAAAAAGTCTTACTTGTCATCCTTTTCATAGATGTTGAGCCCCAAGGCATCGACCCCCAGCCAAAGGTCAGTTCCTTTCTTATTCTTGATTTCAAAGTAGTTGATTCCATACATCTCCAGGTCTTGAGCAATCTTCAGGTATTCCAGCATGGCATTCTCTCTAGTTAAGACAGGAAGGAGATCAGATGTTAGTCGTCAAGAGAAACAAGTAACTTTTCCTAAACCAAGACATCAAACAAGGGTTAAAACTGAACATTCAGCATTTGGGATTCACTTTAGGAGTTAGGATATTACACCTATGAACACAGACACACAGAGTACTCCCATTTACCAAGCCCTAGTATTTCTGGACAGAAAATTAGAAGCTTTCATCTCTTCCAGCATTCATCTTTGTCTCAAGGTACACTCAGTGGGAAAGGTATAGTACCTGAACTTTCCCCATCTGCGAATGCAAATGCTTCAATGAACTTAAGGTTAGATGCACACCTGTACTTTTTTCCCCATTCAAAGTCATCACGGATATACTGTGCCTAGGCCCGTGATTTTCAGGAAGCCATCCAAGAGACTGTTCTCAGCACGAATGTGAAAATCCTATTGAGTTTTAGCATGTGATTTGATGTTGGACTAGAAAATATACACCAAGAGTTCCCCCACACAGGCCACTCTTGGAGTCTATTTCAAAAACTCGTTGTAGAACTGCAAGCTGGTAATTAACCAGTGACAAAGTGATTGGCGTAGGGACTGAGACAAAACACTTACTTGAGCATGCCACTGTGTTCAGCGTGCCACACCTGTGTCCGTTCTTCCCACTGCTCTCTGGAGAGCTTATGCTGGTCCATCACCCTACACAAGAAAGAGGTATTAGCCAGATTAGTCTTTGTGTTCTGCAGTATCTGTTGATGCTGATCTTTGCTAAAGTCTTACTGAAAAATCAGTCCCACCCATGAAGCCTTACTGAAATGAAGAGGAAGATACTACTCAGCCCAAAGATGTACTCAGTGAAGCAGAGTAATTCTGAATGAACAAGAAACCTGCAAAGCCTTTCTGGTCACTGACCAGAGACATGAGAGGAGTAAGCAGAACACTGCAAAAGGACCACATACATGCTGCAGACACCAGAGTGTTAAAGCAAAGCAAAAGTCAGTGTCATTCCTGGAATTAGACACTGTGCAGAGTGTCATCAGGGAGTGTAAACAGAAGTCATTTGTCTGATAACATACACTTATCCTGTGTGGGGATGGACTACGTAGCCTCAAGATTTGCTTTCCAGATACAAGGTTTTTAGGACCACACATTAGGATTGTGGACACACAACCTAACCTTCTTCAGGGACAACACATGCCGAATGCTGCTCTTTTCTTCTTTAAGAGGAGACATTCATACTGCCAGTTACCAGCATGGCAACAATGTTTAGGAAACAAAAGCCAAATTCAAAAGTATACTTCCTCTGCCTAACAAGCCCAAGGAGAGAGCACAAAAACATGCCCTAATATGACAGATAGAAATAAAAGGAAAAAACCTCCAATGCATACAGTTCAATTTTTAAAAAATCGCTATCAGTGAAACTCTCTGTATATAACTAGAATGCAAATTCTTGACTTTTAAAAACAACAACACCACAACCAAAAATGGGAGGCTGCATAAACCAACTCCTTCACCTTTGGGGGATCAGACGCTCTGAATTGAGGTATCCAGGCTTGTGCACCTCTTTGTTGTAATCTCCAAATTTGGCCTGCACTGCATAGGAGCCAAGAAGTACTGCTGTTTCAGGAGGACAGTAGATCTCATCACTGAGGATCCCTTCCTTCACCTGCAGGAAGAAGAGCTTCTGCGTGATGTCCTGGATCAGCTCTTCTGACACATCCTCTGGGAAGAACTTGGCACGGAATTTGAACTGGAGAGGATTCTCCTTTCTGATTTCTTGAGCAGAAACCTGAGGACAGAGGCAACACACACTGAGCAGGGTTGCAAACAGTAGAATAAATTGCTTTTACACATAAAAAGGGATTTGGGGCATTTGCCTTAAGAGGTGAGTGACTGGCAACTCATTACTGGCATTCCTTAATTCCAGCTGTTTACTGGTATGAAAACACAGAGGAAAAGCATTACGTTTTCCAGCTAAGCCAGTAAAATTCTGCTTGCACAGCAAACCTTAGTCACTTGAGAATGATTTACTATGCTATATCAGATAGCAAACCCATCCAGCATCGTATGCGTTTGACAGAGAACAGCCCTCTGACATTAAACAGGCATGTCACTGACTGCCCCATCAAGAAAAAACGTTCATACTCTCGTAAGAATTACAAGTCCACAAACGAGAGCCCATCAGAGACACCTGCGCTCTGTTACAACTGCCCAGCCTTGAAGTGACCTATCTTTCTGATTAGTGCAATAATTGATCCTGCACAAGCAGAGGCTAAAACCATTGCTAGCCAAGACATTCCTCCAGACACAGTAAGAATAGCTGCTTCTACCCAAAGTACCATATCAAGCTGCTGCTGTACATATGACAAATGCTGTAAAGCTTTCTACAATTCACACAGAGAGAAAGGGCAAACTTCCACCATGCCACACCTCACCCAAACAGTTCCCATTTTATCTAAAAATAATCATGGAGTTATGAGAATTAAGGAAAAATCAACAACAGGTACAAGGTTTATAAAGTTGCAGCCAATAAAACATCAGGAATCAGGTAAGATTTAACCTTTGTTCTGCAATTAGCCCAAAGTCTGGTACCTTTTTATCAAGCTTCAGCCAAGTCTGGAATCCTTTGTTGTCCACATACTGAAGACCAAAGTACCACACTTCTCGCAAACCTATGGTTTTAACTACCTGAAACAGAAAGGTCAAAAAAAAAAAAAAGTTATTGTAGGTAACAGTTCAATTGAGGTCCACGTGTCCTCTCAAATCCTGCATCACCTGTGAGTGCAGGCAACAGCATAAACCTACTCATCCAGCATCTCTTAATTTCATCTTGTAGACAAAGATATACAGTTACCATAGCAGGTGACAGCAATGGCATATTGTAATCATAGAATAGTTTGGGTTGGAAGCGACCTTTAAAGGTCCAACCCCCTGCAATAAGCAGGGACATCTTCAACTAGATCAGGTTGCTCAGAGCCCCGTCCAACCTGACCTTGAATGTTTCCAAGGATGGGGTGTTTACCACCTCTCTGGGCAACTCGTGCCAGTGGTTCACCACCCTCACTGTGAAAAATTTCTTCCTTACATCTAGTCAAAATCTATTCTCTTTTAGTTTAAAACCATTACCCCTTGTCCTAATCTACTTGTTCCACCCAGTTCCTAGAAGATGACACTGGGGACCTGGGAAACTGGGGAAGAAATGGGGCAGGTTATGGGCCACCAACTGCTAGGCTGGTATACTGGCAGCAGGTGGGGTTTCTGCTTGCTTGTACCTACTGGTCCTTCTTAAAACTGTGCTTGATAAAGCAGACAGGTTACTTCTCTCACCAAAACTTACGGTGGGAGATAGTTTGTAATAGTGTTAGTAATAACTACAACTAGTTACCAGTACCAGTACTAATGGCTCAAGCCATCTTGCCTGCCAGTCACTGAAGATTATTTGGTTAGAGGAAGCAACTGCTTCACACAACTGCTTCACACAACTGCTTCACACAACTGCTTCACACAACTGCTTCACACAACTGCTTCACACAACTGCTTCACACAACTGCTTCACACAACTGCTTCACACAACTGCTTCACACAACTGCTTCACACAACTGCTTCACACAACTGCTTCACACAACTGCTTCACACAACTGCTTCACACAACTGCTTCACACAACTGCTTCACACAACTGCTTCACACAACTGCTTCACACAACTGCTTCACACAACTGCTTCACACAACTGCTTCACACAACTGCTTCACACAACTGCTTCACACAACTGCTTCACACAACTGCTTCACACAACTGCTTCACACAACTGCTTCACACAACTGCTTCACACAACTGCTTCACACAACTGCTTCACACAACTGCTTCACACAACTGCTTCACACAACTGCTTCACACAACTGCTTCACACAACTGCTTCACACAACTGCTTCACACAACTGCTTCACACAACTGCTTCACACAACTGCTTCACACAACTGCTTCACACAACTGCTTCACACAACTGCTTCACACAACTGCTTCACACAACTGCTTCACACAACTGCTTCACACAACTGCTGCAATAAGTTCCCTGTGCGGTTTTGAAAGTTAAAACAAGCTGCAAGTATTCTCAAGGGTATCATTTTTCAAAATCACACAAATTTTTGAAGGACAAAATATTATTATTATATATTATTTTGATGGCCCAACATTAGGACAATTTTAATTTAATTTCATATATTGTAAATACCAATGAGACAAAAGTTCCAGAAACACCCTTGTTGACTGGATGGCACATTTACTAGTGAAAATAGTTCTGTGTGGACATGTTCCTTTTTCTCCATGGAAGAGATAGCCTAACAAGTTCCCAACCTCCTCCTACTCTTGACTGCTTGTTCTTATAGCCCGGTAGGTTGCTGCTAGCTTATCTACCTGTAAAACTGTGTTCTAGACAGAGCTGAGATCTGGAAAGATCCACTACACGGATATCTGGATCACTTCCTTGATGTTATTTGCAGAGTAGCCCCTAAAAAATTGATGTGGGCATGACCACAGGGAGCTGAACTGAGTGGAAGGCAAGAACTTTTAAAAATTACTTTGCAAGTTAGGAAAATGTGACAGACTCGAGAGGGTGTAGTTACATGGGCTTCAACAGGTTCGAGATGTCAAACAAGGTTCTTCTTCACCCTCCCCATTTATAGTATTGCTGAAGACACTCTGGCTGGAGAGCAGACTTGAGAGAAACAATGATTTTAGGATGCTCAATTAGTTTTTGCTGCAGTATCCCTTAAATTTGCTTACCATTGAGCTAGAAGCCAGCAGTCTGTACTTAGAAGCCAGAGCTTCCCAGGGTTGGTAAGGGGGATGAGGAAAAATGCATCATCTGAGAATTACTGTTTGTGTGACACTGTTGAGTAACAGGCAATTTATAAAGTTTAGTGATATGAGCGGACCAAGAAAATTGCTTAGTAATATGGAAAATGTGAGTAAGCAAATACAATTTTTAAGAATAAAGAGGTCAGTGCCTACTAGTTGAGGAAATGGCACAGCTTCATAGCTAGACATTATATTCAGTAGGCTACAGTTCATATATTCCACTTCAGCAGGGCCATAAGTAACTAGTTATAACTAGAGTTTATGTTTAAAAAAACCACCAAACAACCAACCCAACAAACAAAACCACTCCATACACAACAGCTTTTTTTAAAAAAGAGCTGGGGTCTGAAAATTCTTCAGCCTTTACTTGACTAAAATTCCTTTTCCCTCCTCCCCCAAAGTGGCTTGTTTCACTACAGAACAGACAAGTTTCTGACAGCTAGACATATTTTTAGAAGGGTCAGAACTGGGCTTTACTCAATCTAGCAGGAAAGCACAGGGGTATGTTGAGTGTGTTACTTCCTGTTGCACAAAAAAAGTGTTGCAATTTTGTTAAAGTAAGAACTTGCACAAATCAAGCAGTTATCAGGTCATTATCTCTGAATGTCTCTTACAAGAGAAAAAGTACACTTATTCTATAAATCAAGTTAGATTGCAGAAGCTTGCAGAAGTTATGACCCTTCAAGTTCTTCCCAAAACCTAAAGGCAAGGAAGGAGAAAGTATTAAGCTAAACTTCACAATTTGACCATTTGAGTTCCAATATGAAGAATAAAGACATGAATGTTTTATCCTGTATTCTGTGAAATGGTTTGTAAACTTCCTCCATATCAAAGCAAGGAAGAACTAAGAACCAAGGCATTATATTCAAGATGGGAGACACCCCCCCCAACCTCAAATGCACGAAGCAGGAAACCTTAAGTCTGCCCATTCTACCCAGAAATGCATTCACTCCCAGAAACTGCCAGTGGCACACTGTCCTCCATTTGAATTTCTTTTCCTTGTGGCCAGAATGCACCTGACTGCCTGTGCCAGCCGTGGGGAGGTACTCCAACCAGCTGCAGAGCCCACTGTGCTGCTTTTCAGGGCACTTCAGACCATTGCAGCGTAAACTCCGCACAGGTCTGGCTCGAGCAGAGCTGAACTGAGTTTTCACAGGTTTCCACTATTTTCTCCTTTCTACAAAAAGGTGTTATAATCCAACTTACATGCAGGATATGCTTATGCTAGCAAAGCCTAAAGCACAAGGACACCGCCAGAGTAGTTTTGCTAGCTGACAGCAGGCCAACAAATCATCCTGTGGTTTTTAAAAAAAGCTTGCTTCTTCAATGCCCTTTTCCCCCCACAGTGGTTCTGCGGCTCAAGTTGGGCCACTCCCCATACCTTCAAAAACCTGTTGCCTCCATAGGCTTTATCTGAGTGTAAACTTCATCTGAGATAAGGGCCCAGTAAAAGGCTTGCACAGCAGAAGTGAAGAGAGGATGTCACAACAGTTGCAGCTAAACAGTCTTCACCTTCCCCAGTTTTATGCTGCACACTTCAACTTTAGTCTTCTGTTGACATGCAGAAGTGCACCCCAAAAAGGTATGGACTAGGGATAAGAATTTCCAATCACAGGTTTTTAAACTCAAGCCATAGGATGTAAGAAGCAAGTCTTCACGAGGCGATAGTCTATCCAAATAGTGCAATACATGTTGCAACAAGCAGAATCTTCAGAAGTCCAGAACTACCTAGACAGCAAGCTAGAAGTATCTTGAATCTGAAGCATCCCGCCTTTTTCCATGTTCTCAGGATTTTGTGCCTCTCAGCTGGAGGTCAAGAAAATAGTTCCTCTTCTGCCAGAGAGATGAACCTGACTCTTAACACATGTAAACATTAGTGAATATATGGGGGAGAAAAAGGGTCCTTGTTGAATCCCTGTCATCAGGAACATAGGACATACTTACATTGTCTGATCTAAAGCACTGCTTTTAAAAACTTGGCTTTTAGTCATCTGGATTTTTGTGCCCTCAGAGATGAAACCTGAGTTCTCCGTTTTGGGTTAACATGGGAAGTGCTGGGGCAGGAAATTACCCTGATGCAAGGGTGGTCAGTAGCGAATGGAAGGTCAAACTCCAAATGCTGGTTCCATAAAAATGCAGCCATTTCATATGCGCTTCACCAAATTTCCAATCAATGAATACTCAATGTTTAACCCACATTGGTAATAATCAAAAGGAATTAAGTTATATTTAATGATAAACATAATTTGTAGTACTCTTTTGTATTCTGGAGTTCTGCAGTGATTGTAATTTGGTTTCCTCCTTTCACTCCCTCCAAGAACACACTAAATGTTTTTGTTTGTTTACAAAGTAGTTCTCACTGGAAATCTGCACAATTGCCACAAGGCATAGCAAGCTCTAGCTAACTCACTGAAATGAGAAACTGTACCAACAAAAACTTAGCAGGAACAAACACTGTTTAGCCAGATCTGTCTACTTGAGTTAAAGCTCAGCCACCCTGTGCTATCAAAGGCTAGCAGGCGACAAGGGGAGAAATGCAAAGGAGTTGCTGTAACGCTTCATAAACAGCTGAATACATGTAACTGAAGCCTGCATACATCAATTCTTAGTTTTCAGGGTTCCATGAGGAATTTCCAGAAGCAAGCTCTCTTTTTTTTTTTAATTATTTTTGAAATTACAAAATAACAAGTTCATTTTTCCTGCTGCAATCTAGGTCTTGCTTCAGTTTAGAAAAGAATTACAAGGTTTTAGAAAGTGCTCTTTGTTTATTTTAGTTGTCTTTATCTGACCTTTATATGTCCATCTCCAAACCTGTGTATTGTTAATGCAATAGCAGGAAGAATAACACTAAGGGAGGAGAGTCTTGGCTACTGTGCTGGTTTTGTCTGGGATAGAGTTAATTTTCTTTATAGTAACTAGTATGGGGCTGTGTTATGGATTTGTGCTGGAAACAGCGTTGATAATACAGGGATGTTTTTGTTATCACTGAACAGTACTTAGACAGAGTCAAGGTTTTTTCTGCTTCCCACCCCACCAGTGAGTAGGCTGGGGGTGCACAAGAAGTTGGGAGGGAACACAGCTGGGATAGCTGATTCCAACTGACCAAAGGGATATTCCATACCATATGATGTCATGCTCAGCATATAAAGCTGGGAGAAGAAGAAGTGGGAGATGTTCAGAGTGATGGTGTTTTGTCTTCCCAAGTAACTGTTACACGTGATGGAGCCCTGCTTTCCTGGAGACGGCTGAACACCTGCCAGCCGATAGGAAGTGGTGAATGAATTCTTTGTTTTGCTTTGCTTGCATGTGCAGCTTTTGCTTTACCTATTAAACTGTCTTTATCTCAACCCACACATTTTCTCACTTTTACTCTTCTGATTCTCTCCCCCATCCCACTGTGGGGGAGTGAGCGAGCGGCTGCGTGGGGCTTAGTTGCCGGCTGGGGTTAAACCACGACAGCTATTCATGCCCTCCACTTCCACCTCCCTGGGAACCCCTGGAGGCAGGCTGGACAAGTCTCTGCTCCATACTGCTGCACAGGGACTTCGTACAAGGCATATTGCTATAGTTGCTGCATGGAGATCACAAACTCCTGTGGTTTTCCACATGTGGCAAGTGGCTACCTCCAACTCAGCTCCTATATGAGTGCAGCTATGCATACATCTTCTTCATCAGTCATCTGAAGACCTGATTCTAAAGAGCTTTATGCACAGATACAACATTTCAACTTTAGAATTTAAGAAATAAGTAAGAGCTAAGCTGTATTTCAAATTAAGAGGTGCATTTTTACACACTACATACACTGTCTAGACATTTTAAATCCCTTATGACACTTCATCACCCAGCAATGCTAGGAAGACAGGTTTCACTGGAATGTAACATACCTGCAAGGATTTTTGCTTATTTCTTTTACTGCAATGGAATTTAGAGATCATAGTCCAGACTACTGCCCTTTGATTCGGAGGTAGAGGGGAAAAAAGAAAGACAGGTTTGGAATCCAGTCTTAAGAGAACACTATAGCCTGAAATGTACTCCAAGCTTAAGCAGTAAGAGCCCACACCAACCCTTCACTGACCTGGTCAAACAACTGTTTGCCTGTAGTGTTTGGCTGGATGGCAAACTCCAGCTCTGCGTCCATAGTAACAACTCGAACGTTGATCTAAGGAGAAAAACAAAAGTATTGTTTAAGATGTAGTGAAAGCTATTTCTCAGCATTAACATAGTACTTTGTGTACAATACAGTCTCCACGCTTTGATGCACTACTGTAACCTCTAAAATATACACACTTAAGCCCCAATTAGATTTGTGTTATCACACCAGCAAATTTAATTGGGGCACTGACTTCACTGTCTTATCCAGATTGCTCTACAGGTTTTCTTACTCAACATGGGATTGGATTGAGGTTCTAGTTAAACAAGAGGGCATTTTAGAGTTGACTGTTTCCAGGTCTAAACCTCCTTGGAATAAAGGCTCCTGTGACTGTGCGGCACAGCTGCCTGCAGGCCATCCCTTGGATTACAAAAAGCCCTAATGACTAAATTAAATTTAAGACTTATAATTTAACTTCCATTTATATTAGAGCTGGATTAATCTGAGGTTTTAAAGGCAAAAGGCTGCAGATTATTCTTACAAAGCAATCAGCATTAACCTGATAAAACATTCATTCATCCTCTCATAAAAATCTACTCAGCACATAAAAACAGCAGTTATGGGTACCAAATGATACTACAGGGCAAGAGTTCACTAAGCTATTGCTGTTAGTGAAGAAACAGCATAACCAGATTTACTGCAATGGTAGAAGTAGACTGCAAGCCAGAGGTTACTATTGTATGCAGAAGGCAAGAGTGTTTAGTGACTTGAAAAAGTCTATTAGCAGTTAATTTGGAAACAAAAGCAGCGACCAAGCTTGCAGGGAACAGCATAAGGACTAGCAAAATGGCAAATCAGGAAAGGATTATCTCCAACTGTTCTGACTACAGAACAGTCTATTGCTAGCCATATTATACTAGGTCTCCAAAAAACAACCACCCCAAAGCAAATTAAAAAAACAACAAACAAACCAGAAATGGATGATTGTGTAGTATAGTTCTACTAACAAGTTAGATTCGTAGCTTGGTATTTTAAAGAAAAGAGAAGAAAAAATGGACATGTAAATACAAGGCCTGACAACAGGCAAGCTACACACAGGTAAAATTTCATTACATTTTCCCAACATTTTATAACTGTCGCATCACAGACAGAGCTAACAGACCAGGAGAGCCTGCTACAGCTGCAGCACTGGTGCTCAGCACAGAGGTACACATTTGAAGAAATGAAAGGAAAGGGCAGAAGAGGAATAGAATCACTCACTACAAAACATTGACACTGCAGCAGTTTCCAGCCACTTAATTATGTATATTTAAAATCTAGGATAAATGTCAGGTAAAACAATGCTACAGTTAACACAGAACCGTGAAAAAAAAGTTGCCTGAGCTAGTTTTGTCAAATACATTAGAAAATTTTGCATTCTTTTTTAGCAAGACATGAAGGCATGAAGTGTCTTTTAACCTTTACAGAGATGTTTCTTTTTCCCACTCTCTCCCAGATGACAGAGGACCCTCCTATAGAAAGATGACTGAAGGCAGTTTCCAAGTCATGGAACCCCAGAACTGAACCAGAGAAGATGACTGCTTAGGTGCCTTGTCACTTTCAAGCTGCATTTATAAAGCAACGTCCTTTAAATTGGGTTTTTTAAAAAAAATTCCTCTAAAAGCAACAAGAAAGAACAAGCAGGAAAGGTTTTCTGAGAGCTCCTTTTCCTAGCTGTAGCGTTTGGGATCCATAATGGAGCATGGAAATGTGCTTAAGGCTTTCTTCCTGTGCCTTAAGAACCAAAGGTTTCCCAAATAGTGTTTTCAGTGTAGGAAGGGAGGGGAAGTTCAGATACCAAATTCTCAGGAACAGCCAGACTGCAATTCAAAGATGCGACCTTAAAAAGCTCCTGTTGCTTAATCCCTCTTGACAACAAATCCCTAATCATATTCTAATCCTTTCTGCCCACTTCAAGAAAACATATGCTCGTAATCCACGGTTTCGTATTGCGCAAGTTATTTGTATTTCTGGCTGAAACACCATAGTGGGTGTAAAATAAGTATCAATTTACAAGCTAAAGAAGTTGAAAGGATGTGCTTCCCACTCCTTACCAGAAAACCTGCAGGAAGTTGGCTGAGCACAGAATTCCAGTCAGTATCAGTACACTTGTCTTTTACTCTCTCTCCTTAGTGATTATTTGCTGGTGAAAAAGGGTAAACGCCCTAGTATAGGGGAATACCCTGTATTACTCCAACCCTTAAAGACTCTTTTGGATACAGTCCCCTTCCTAAAGGATCAGCTACATAGCCAGCTATTTAGTGATAAAGCCATCTACCTGTTACATCTTTTAAGAATTATTTTAGTATTAAGACCAAAAATTGAAGTCATCTGCTTTCCACTTCAATCATTTAAAGCCATGCAGGAACATGACTACCTGGTTATCCAAAAAGCTTTCAAGGACACTTGGGTGTGTGGTAAAGGTTAATTTCTGTGTTCTTAAAGGGCTGCACAACCAGCAGGATAAAGAGGAACTCCCTGGTGTCCCCTCAGACAAGCTGCTAGCCACATGACAGGCAGAGCAAGAAGAGACAGAGCCTCAAGCAGTTGTCACTTCAATGAGCTGAGGACTCCCTGGGAAAAGCCTCCCAGCCTCCTTCCTGCCATATTACGTCCTCTTGCTTCTCATCTCCAAACCTCAGCCTTGATTTCAAGAAGAACATAATGGTTTTAACAGTGTTTCTAACTGGATGTCCTACAACCACTCCACACAAGCTTTTAGCCACAGAGAAGCTGGTAGTGAAGCAGGCAAACAGAGCTTAACTCACCTAAACCCGTGGCTTAGACAATCTGAAGAAACCGTCATGTCTGTTAGGCTGAGAGACCATCAGTTTGGCATTCAGCTCTGACCACATGAAATTCCCCATGGCACCAAGACAATTAAATCAAAACCCAAGGTGCTAATCAAAGGGTTATATATTGTTGGGGAGGAAGAGAGAACAACTCAGACTAATTTCTACCAGCAACAAAAAGCAAGACACAGTTAAGACAACTTTCACAAGTGAAGTCCTGCTCACCCTGTGTAGGCAAGGCAGGTCATTTGTAAGACCCCTACCAAATCCTGGCTGTACCCCAAAACAAAATTGAAGCCATAACCAAAAAGCAAGCAGTTTTTAATTGTTTCAGAACACAGGGCTGTTATACATGAAATAAAGGTTTTTAAATACACATAGCATGCTAAAAATCCTACACAGTAAGATGGAACTTCCTTCTCAATAGGCCAATGCTGTAACACTTTATGATTACACATTTATCTCCAAGACTAACATACTTAAAATGAATGACAAATAGGGCCTTAGAAGGTTCGCTTATGTGTACAAAAACATTTCTTCCCCTGTCTTAGGATGCATAAAATTGCTAAGAAATTTGATCCAGAGCGGAAAAAAACATGCAACTGAAAAAGACAATTCCATTTGCATTAAAAGGAAAAAAAGCCCCATGAATCGTAAGATACAACAGAAACCAAAGGACTTACTACACTAAATGACTGAACACTAATTCCATGACTTCAGACTGTTCAGGGTAGACTGTAACGTTACCTCCATTTCCAACTGGGACAAGAGAGTGGAAGTAAGATGAAAGATAAAACTAGAGAGAACTTCAGAATACAGTTTAAAAAGTCTAGTCCTATGGAAAGCTCTTGTACTAGAAGTTACAGTTGTTAGAATGTAGAAAGCAAGGAAGATCAGGGCATTGCTAAAGCAAGGAAGAAGTCATGCATTTGTTCTTTTTTCTCTTTTTTTCTTAAGACAACATCTCTTCTAACACTAAGTCAGTAGATCAATCTATGGGGCACTGCAGCCTTTTAGAGACTGTGCACCATACAGTACCTAATTTCAAAAATTAAAATGCCACTTGAAAAACATTCAGAAAACATTGTCTCTTAAGGAGGCAATACATTGCCATCCAGCTGTGACAACATTTTCTCCGTGTGAGATCCAAGACCTAGATAGGAACCCAAGATGACATTGCCTTTTCAATCCCTTCCTCTCACAAATGCACAGTTTCCAGGTGTGTTGGACACTGCATGCACAAAGTAGTCTTTTTTTTTTTTTCCTAGTCTGACTCTTGAGCTGCAGCCTGTTGATCCAGAACCTGTCTCTGGTTGCAGGCAACAAGGTATCTTTGAAGTTAACCATCCCGCTCCTGATATTGTAGCTCCACTACAAAACATCCTACTCTGAAGGGGACAAGGAAGGCAGAACAGGAAAAAATCCCACAGCCCTCACACACTAAGCCATCATGGATAGCTCACATCCCGATGCATGAAATTCAATACCCCTTAAGTTCACTTGCATAATAAAATAGTTCAGTGAAACCATGAAGTTGTGCAAGTCATTTAAAATACCATACAATTTATTTCCAGTGAATACATAAGATAAGGGGCAGTAAATACTGACTTTTACCCATATACACAAGACAAACCAGTATTTAACGTGTTCATATCATTATACAGACCTAAATGCCTCAGACCATGCTCAGGAATGTTTTCTTCCTCTTTCCAAGGAGGGATAAACACCAGAGTCTTTTAAATAGCAGGCTTACACGCGCAAATGCTAGTGAAGTATCTTTCCAAGTGGTGGCAATTAGAATCACAGTGGAGAAACCCAGACAGGCATGCCTTCTTTCTTCAGTCACTGGATGACTGGAAGTCCCAGGCAAATATCTAGCACATGTAAGCAGATCAACTGCATAGTGCAGAGGGGATAAGGGGTTTTGAAGTGCTGCACCTGCACAGCACATACTGTGAAAAAACAGCATGCAGGCCTGTTAAGGTTTCCCACACATACGCAAACCGGCCATATAGCACACGGACATGCTTGTGCTGAAGGAATATGGCAGTCTTAACAACAAATAAGAAAAAACAGTAGTATTAAGAACACTATTAAGAAAGCAGTAGTATTAAGCTTGCATCCTCTCTTCTGCAGGTCTACTCTCCTGCCACACAAGCAATAACTACTATTGTACTTGTAATGAATAAGGCAAGCTTTTTGCTCTGAGTTGCAATGTATCTGCATGGACAAC